ACATCCGTACATACATACATACATACATACATACATATATATATATATATATATATGAATGTACGTGCCTATGAGTAAGTGCTTGTTCTAAATTGTATATACTGCCTCCTACGCAAAAACTGTTAATTCGGAAGCAGACCTGGGGTAGTCGTCATCCGTACAGCAAGTCATGTATGTGTTTGTATCACACGTGAGTGTATATACACAACAAACGCAGGCGTTCAACTATCAATCGATGTCTAGTCTGAAGGTATATGGCATGTTCTAGTGTCGATGAGACGGCAATAAGCCGCACAAAGTGGGCGTTCTCATTTTAAAAACATGCATGCATGGTGAAGTTATTTAGGGGTTATAAAAAGTCTATAACGTATGTGTGCAGGGCAGTGTGCTTGGAGACGGACTACTCCGAACAGCTATGTGCAAGGGCATGTGGGTATTCATGTATTTGTGCATATACTCTGTACAGACCATAATCGAAACAACACACAAGCACAGACGTTCTTGTGCAAAGATCTCCAGTCCAACTACATACACATATACACAGCTACAGTACTATGTATATCCCCATACACGCTACGTACACACACACAGCTACAATACTATGTATATCCCCACACACCCTACGTACACACACACAGCTACAGAACTATGCATATCCACGCACACACTACTCACATTGTGCAAACCAGTACACGAAGTTCCACACGATTCTGAGCGCGTACGGTGACACATAAGTCACAGGCTTGTCGCACGTGGCCGTGACTTTGCTCGCGGGTACTGGGACAGGGATTGGCTCGGGCTCAGCAACGGGCTCAGCAGATACATCCGTCCCGTTATCCGTCCTTTTATTTTCCGACTGCGTGACTACTACAAACGGGGTGGTTGCATTCGGGTTTGGGACTATGGCGCTGGTATCAGCCTCTGAACTGCTGGGGTCTATAAGGTCAACGCGGCGAGTACGGGGCAGGGTGGCCACGGCATGGCTATCCACAGTGGAGATATTCGGTACAACGCTAGGCTCGGTGGTGTTGAGACAGTGACGGTAGAACGTCTGTACACCGCCAGAGTGTGTTTGGGGTTTACATTGGTGGATTTAATATTTATATACATATATATATATATATATATATATATATATATATGTGTGTGTGTGTGTGTGTGAGAGA